GTACAGAACAAGATAGCAGTTGTCTGCTGGAAGCTCATAAACGGGATGCTATGTTCAAGAGGATCAGAATGAATGTGTTAGACTCAAAACTAAGTCATCCAAGCATAACAAATATTCTTTAAAAAGACATAGAAACATGTGGCAACCTGAAACAGGCACACAAAGTATTTTTAAGGAAATATTTGAAAATGCCACATAAGAAAACAATGAAAAAACAGTAGATTGAGAAAATATATAATTTAAGGAGAAAACAACAAAGAACAAGAAGAAACTGTGTAAAAGTCAAAATAATAACTGAACTATTTGTTTTCAGACATTAAATATGCACCCAGAAAGGTAGCTTCAAAGTATAAAAAGGAATTACTGACAGAATTATAGTGAGAAATAAATAATTCAATAGTTGTAATTTAAATACAATCAGTAGTTTAAATGATCAAAAATATAGGAAATATGAATAATGTGATTAATGAGCCTATTAACAGAAAGAAAAGGTTTGTACACAACAAATTGCAAATACATATTCTTTGCAATGCATCCACCAGTGAAACTTAAGAAAATTCCAATGTTCAACTCTATGAATACTATACTTTCTGAGTGTGATATATCAAAATGTCATTAAAATTAAAAAATCAACAGCAAAAGTTTAAAATGAGTGTTGAATGTATTTCCAGATCCACTAACTTAGCAGTAAATATCATATTGTTCCATGGTGTGTGTATGTGTGCATGCACTTGTCATGTCTACTAAGATCTAAACCTCCAAGAGCAACAAGAAGAAAATATAGACGTGGAGAAACAGTTCCACTGGACCTGAATTCGTACAAGTCATTGGCCCCTGAGGCCTTCCTGCCTTGATATGGAGGCAGGGCTCTGTTTAGAAGAAGGCAGAGTCATTGAAGCAGTCACTCTGTGCCTTGAAGCAACTAAGTTCCCTCAACCCTAAAGAAGAGACAGGTTGATGACCAAAGAAGGAAATGGATTCTGGGGCAGCCGCCTAGCTGCGAGGTAGGTAGTCACTATGCCGAAACCAGGTGGAATAATGCGAAGTGTACATTCAGATCATTACACTAGCAAAAGCAATGACTGATATTTAAAGAAACTTTCTGGAATTACATAAAGGAGTTTAAAAATACTAAACTAAGGCAAGAATTTGAAGCAGCCTATGACTAAGTATGAAGAAGAACTCTTCGTGCACTCTACCATACTCTTAGAAAAGGTAAAATGTGGCTTCCCTAGGACAATAGTAGGCTGTAATAGCAATAGAGCGTGACACAGGAAGAAACCAGAAAGGGCCCAAAGAAGTTAAAACTATTATCATAGAAGTAAAATGCTTAGTAAAAGAGTTGAAAGGTAAAACTCAATAATCCAGGCTCGGAAAGCCAAATATTACATAGTCTCTCTCACAGGCGGAGTGAATGAAACAAACACAATCAACCTGGAAGTAGAACGGTGAATCCTTGGGACTACAAAGGGCGCTATGGGGTGAGGGTGGAAGAAGGCTGGGCGGATACGATCAATTGCTTATTGTATACATGTTTGGGAATACCACAGTAAATCTAGTGAATATGCACAGTTAATGTGTTAATAAAAATAAAATTGTGAAACAAAGAAAAAATTTAAAAAAACAAAACAAAATCCCCAAACTTCCAAACCAAAACAAACAATGACAACAACCAAAAGAAAACAAAGAATACGTTACAGCTGAATTTTAAAATACTGATTTCCTGTGTCCTTGGGATGGGGGAGCAAAGTTCAGAGCAGCAGAGCACTAGTGATGACCTCCCAGAGGACTGCTCGGCTCCTGGGGCCACTCAGAAAACTGCCACAGGGAATCACGTCCAGCATGCTATAGGTTGGAAAGAACTGATCTGGATCAGTGTTTGGAAATATAACAATAATCAGCTAAAGGGGTTGGACATGTTTAGCTGGATGCAGGGAATGCTGCTTTTATACAGCTGCGTTCTCTTCTGTCGTGTGCAGCTGCACAAACACACGAATAGTGCTGGGGCCTACTCAGTCTTCCCCTGGCTGAGGCAAATGCTGAAGGCTCATGGCTGATTCTCCTGGGAGGAACTGCCCTGGGCTTCGGGACACTGCCTGCTCCACATTATACCCTGCTCAGTGGCCACTAACTGGCTACTGTGAAAGTACAAGGCCTGGGCTCTTTCATTTAGGACAGCAGTGAACTCCCTCCTCAACTAGGGAGTTCACCATGGAATCCACAGAAGTGTCAATGGAACTTGTATTGAGGGTCAGCTTCTCTCAGTGGCCAGCTCCGTTGTTGTGGTTTAGATCTGAAATGGATCTAAAGTCTTAGATGAAGTCTTTAGATCTAAAGTCTTAGACATTTGGAAGGTGATTGGATTATGGGAGTGCAATAGCTGACATCCTATCAAGAGGTGAGGTCCTTTTGCAAGAGGCAAGTCACCGGGAAACAAGCTGGAAAGGTTTATCTCCCTTCCAGTTTTCTCCCTTACACTCTGCTTCCTGGTGGCCATAAGGTGAACCTCCCTCTGCCAGACCCTCCCACCATACTGCTTCTGCCTGGAGCCAGTTGACCACACAAGAACTGAAACTTCTAAAACATAAAGCTTCTCTCCTTTAACGTGGAGGCATCAGGTACTGTGTCCCAATGACAAGAAAAGTGACTATGACATCTATCTTAAATTCCCAGAAGCGCTCCCCAGGAAAAGGTCTTCATGCAGCTTTCTGTATTAGAATCTCTTTTCTGGGAGCTGAATTTAAGATGCCATCTAACAAGTTCAGGGAAGGAGACTCAATCTTACTATGGATTAGAAAATGCATATTAAAGACAATGAGCTGTCTAACTGAAGTCACTGATGGGCAAAGGTTAGATGGATAATACCAACACAAGTTTAGATGAGAACAATCTCTCACTTTCATTTAGACCATTGGTATTTAGACCATTTACATTTAATATGATTGTTAGTATAGCCCAGTTTTTTTGTTTGTTTTTTTTTTGGTACCGGGGATCGAACTCGGGTCCTTCCGCTTGCGAGGCAGGTGGCAAAACCACTGAGCTAGATCCCCGGCCCTAGCCAAGTTTTAATTTATAATCTTTTTACTTGTTTCTATTTGCCCCATATGTTGTTTGATCTCTCTCTCTTACACTTTGCATGGATTTCTTTTTTAACTCCTACATGATTTTATAACATGATGCACTAGCTTTTGAAAATACTGGTTCACTGAATTACACAGGACCTCCAAATAAAGTTTCACAGAATATTAAAAAGGCATGTAGTCAACAGTTGGGCTTTAATGTAATTGATAATTTTTACTGGTTCATCAAGAACATTTTAAAGTGCAATTCAACTTTTTAAAATTTGACCACTGCGTGTTAATATTGCAGGATAAAGGAGCTTATTTGGGGAAGTCAGTACATACATTTAACACACCTTAGTGAATTTCAATCACGTTATCCTCTCTCCCTTTCTTCCCCATTCCCACATGTCCCTTTGCATAGCTCCAGAAGTCTGCCTCCTGGTTTCTTGTCCTCTCTCTTTTATTTTAATTCTTTATCAATTTATATATTTTTTAGGTATCTAATATAAGAGAAATCATGAAATAATACTTCACTTTTTGAGCCTAGCTAATTTTACTTAACATGACAGTTTCTAATTCCATCCATTTTTCTGCAAATGTGATTTCATTCTTCTCTAAGACTGAGTAGTACTCCATTGTGCATATATACCACATCTTCTTTATCCATTCCTCTGTTGACTGGGTCTCTAGGATCCATAGCTTAGTGAGTGTTAACTTTACTGGGCTTTTTTCTGCACAGGATAGCAGTAAAGAACGTGCTTACCGGCAGGGTTTACTGCTGCTGCCTGGATCTATGTTAGACACCAGACGTTTACCCATCATTTCTTTGGGACCATCAGTGCCCACTTCATCTTGTTCCTGTCCTTCCCGAAGTGCCCACCACGTTCTGGGGGTGGGAAAGGTGAGCATGTGGGGAGGGGATCCTGGACATCTGCCAAGGGTCCTGCAGGTACTCGCTGTGCAGGCTCCACGTGGATGCCTGGTACTCCTGGGAGCAATGCACCCCTGAGGGCTGGTCCTGCACAGCATCCCATGATAAGGGTCGGCATCGGCGAGGACAGGGGATATGGTGGCACATTCCACTGGGTGTCACCACTGGAACAGTTGAACCAAACAGGCACATGTGACCTACAAATGAGGAATTATGGTTGTATACAAACAGAATAAAAACACAAAATTTATTTGTACCTTTTTTTCAAATGGCAACCAAAGTTTGAGGAAATAAATGAGTTCTTTTGACCTGATACATATACAGGCTGCTAAGTATTTGGCCAAGAGGTGCCGTGGGCAAAGTATGGAGGCCCTAGGGTGCCACAAACCTCTACCTTTGCATTATCATAAAAAATAATTGAACTTGGAGGGGTCCTAAAAGGGTCTCAGGAACTCCTCAGGATCCACAGACTAAAGTCTGAGAACCACCATATTAGCTCAATTCTCTGCTTCTCATGTGCTAAAAGAACTTTTGAAAAGTTACATGAATTATTTGTCATCATCACTAGCAACCTCTCTCCTCCCTTCTTTTGTGCACAGCTTCCACTTGTCCGTGAGTGATGAGGCTGCTGATGTAAGGCAGGTGGGTAGACTGAGCTAACAGGCATGAGCACGGCCTCCTAGCAGGCTCACTGCTCTGGCAGGAGGTGACGTAAGACCTGTCCTCTGTCTTCGAGCACTTTGGGGTGTGGTGTGCAATCTGGCAAAGATGCAGACTTTCAAGAGTATGGAAGAAATGCAAGCAGGGTGTGAACAGGGTGTTCTGCGGACACATAAGCAGGTGGGCTACTGCAGCTCTGATGCATGGTGAAGGATTACCCCAAGATGCTAGCTACACTGACTATCCCAGAGTAAAGGAGAGAGAGAGAGAGAGAGAGAGAGAGAGAGAGAGAGAGAGAGAGAGAGAGAGGAGCCCGTGAGATTGCACTGCATGTCCGCTGTGAGTAGGGAGTGGCGATCTGACTCTGTGAGGTCCTGGGGGAGGCGGGGAGGCACCAATGCCACGCCCTCGTGTTGGGCTCCATTGCGGACTGGATTACGGAGCCGCTTCTGAGAAGTCACTGAAGGGCTTCAAGAGAACTGGGCCATTAGCTGACTGAACTTTCCTCTGACAGCGATGAGACAAGCTTCTTGAGGGGGACGAGCACAGAGGCGCCTGGCGAGGAGCTGCTGAGAGGAGCGAGGACCCCTGAGCCGGGCAGCGGCGAGGATGACCAGGGTCAGCGTCAGACCCAGGACCCTGCTCGGATCTGCTGCTGGCTGGAGGAGGAGCGCACGACCAAAGAGAGTCTCTGCACTTCGTGACGGTAACTGCTTTTTACATTCTTGCTTTCATCTTTAGCATACATGGACTGCCCATGTTCGTGACAGTGTGCCGCATGTGTACATACGTGTAGCATGTAGATTACACAGGAAGCACAGGTGCGCAGGGAGAGGGTGGAGGTCTCCTCTGTGGGGCGCCTGTGCATGCGCAGTGCACAGACACCTGCCAGGCTGGAGGGGCCGGCAGTGCTTGGCAACCATGGGGCACGGAGGCACGTCCAGGTGGAGGCTGCTGAACTCTTCAAGGAATTATTGTCCGAGGCAGACTTACGGTGCGCTGCCAACCGCCAAGCCCAGAGCAGGCAGAGGAGAGAAGGGCTGAGCTCTTCCTGCTGGAGGTGATGTCCTGACGCCCACAAGACCTCCCAGGCCGCCCGTGCAGCCCGTGGGAAGGGAAGCTGATGGAGTGGTTATTTATTTCCATTTTGAACTTGCAATTCCTTCGCCTTTGCTTAGTTTCTCAGGACCAACCTGGGTTCAGAAGGCGTCTGGACTTCAGTTTAGATATTAGGTGGAATCACTGGAGTTTTGAGCGGGGGAAGTCTCTTAACAGAGTGACGAGAAAAGCAGGTCTGTTAGAGGGTAGGAAGCGGGAGGAGGGGATGACCAGCCAGGCCCTAGGGCAGCCATAGCTGGGGACAGGAGGGTGGCACACTACAGTATAACCTCCTCCCCTCGGGTGCTGGCAAGACTTAGGACTCTGATGAGAGAGAACTCCTTCCATTAGACTGTGTAATATAATGGGAGCAAAGAAATGTAATTCAAGTCTCTAATCAAGTTAACAGACAGGGAGATTTTCCTGGGTGGGCCTGGCGTAATCAGGTGAACCTTCTGACAGAAGATGTACAGGTCAGAAATAGAAGGAGCAGCAAAAACTCTGCTGTGAGAGCTAAAGAAGTAGGCTGCCACAGTGCGGAGAAGGCCAGTGGCCAGCAGGTGCTGAAGGTCTCGGTCCTATGACCGTGAGCAGAATATTTGCACAGAGCCTTGCAAGAGATTCCACCCTGCCTAGCACCTTGGCCATGGCCTTAGGACCCCTGAGCTGGGTCCTAAGCAGAACCGAGCTGGGTCACACCTGGATTTCTTCCCTAGAGAACTGTGAAGTGTTAAATGGGCTTCTTGAAACCATAAAGTTTGGGGGAATTTACACACAGCAACAGGACACTGAAAATGTATCTCTTCCAAGAAGCCTTCCTTAGTTTACTTTCCTCCCTGTGTGGAATCATTGTTCCTTCTACACTACCATGGTCTGTTTACCAATTCACATTTTTGTTGCTTTGTAATGTATTTGTTCACGTTCAGCATCTTTTCTTTTTGCAGTATTGGGAATCCAGCCCAGGGGCGCTGTACCACGGAGCCACATGTTCTGTGCTTTTTAGTGTTGACTTTGACACAGGGTCCCTCTAAGTTGTCCAGGTTGAACTCAATCTTGTCATTCTCCTGCCTCAGCCCCCCGTGTGCTGAGATTACAGGCATGCACCACCATGTCACGCTTGTCTTCATTTCTTAATTTTCCACTAGATTCTAAGGGAATCTCAGTTCTTTATCTTGGAGCCCAGCATGTTAAGCAAGATGTAGCAGGTGCTTAATAACTATGGGGATTGAGTTCATCTTACATTTAAAAAATATTCCCTAAATAAACCTTAAGGAATGAATCAAATCAAATGGTGGTTTTATCTCTAGCAGTTCTGTAGGTCAAATCCAAATGAGGAACACATATTATCAATTATGTTAGAGTTATAGATGTGTTTGGGAGTTTGTACACAGCCAACTCTCTGGAACGACCCACATGTAATTCTTCACAGGGTCAGGGATTGAATCAGCTCTGCTTGCAGTCATTCCCTTGCCACAAGACACAGTTTCCCAAGTGCAGAATGCACACAAGAGCCCAGGTCCCCACCCTTCGGTAGCCACTTAAGGAGACAGATGTTTCCTCCTGAAAGAGACCAGAGGTACTGATGGGAATCACATGCATCTTGGAGATTGTGCATAGCTGGGTTTAATCTGACCAGAGTTGTCCTCATCCTGCATTTGGACAAGAAAAACAAGAGGTGTAAGCACTGGCTGCCAAAAGCCATCGCTGGTCTGGAGCCTTTTCAGTTTCTTCTGATATCACCCAGGGTGATTTTAGTTCTGTGAAGATGTATGTGTTCAGGATGACTGATTGTCCACTCACTGGAGGGCAAAAGGTTGAGAGAATCATTCCAGTAACTCACACTATTTGGAAGTATGGATTTCATAATGGTAATAATACTTCCTGGTACCAAAGATAAAGCAGAATTGGACCACAAAGGACTTAAATGCAAAAAAATTTTATTCTTATTTAATCACCCGCAATGTACTGCCTGACCTATTAGAATATATATTTATATATATCATATTCAATCAGATGTTTAAGCCAAAGAACCTAGGTAAATGGATACATCAAAATAGCTGGCAATTGAACCTTTTTTGAAATTACAGGAAAACAGAACTATGGTTTGCCCACCTCACCCCAGACCAGAAAAGGATGCTTGTAACAACAGGCAATGACACCTACCTGACAGCGAGGGGATGGACCTTCCAGGGAAACTCACCCTAACACAGAAAATGACAGAGACTTCTTAACTAAGTGAAATCCCTGAAATCTCCAGCGGCAAAGGCCTTCTTCCTCTCTCTTTCGGGGGACTAATTTCAGAGCTTAACATTTGTAAAGCTTCTCTGACACATCAAAATGGCCAGAGGGGAATTTGTGTGGAGCATTTGATTCACTATTATTAAAAAATTGCCTTGTGGTCCCAGCTATTCCCTCGGGACACAGAGATAGGAGAGAAAGGGAAACTCACTTTCAGTATTTTTCTCAATGTCTTAATTTGGGAACATGCAGAGGTTTCTTTGGAGGTTCCTTCTGAGTTCTGGGCAAAGGTTCAAGCCCATTCCTGAGTTATCTCAACTGATTCATCCTCCCTCATTGAAAGCCAGCGACTGCAGGGGTTTGCAACCGCACTCAGCCCTGACTGTACTCAGTGCTGAGAGGTTTTTAATCTTTTTCCTGTTGGTCTCCTTATCTTCTGGTGCTTCTCTGTCTCATCCCCTCTTCCAGAGGCTCCCAGTCTAATCAGCATCTCCTGCAGCTGATGACAGACATGGGAGCAGATGCACCGAAAGGTTAATGGGACAGGAATGGCAGATGCAGCCTGACCTGAAGAGGCGGCAGCGGTCAGAATTCGAGCTGCATTCCCTGCGTGCAGAAAGAGTTAGCAGGTCCTCAGTGAGCTTGGAGACCAAGTTAGAAAATGGCACTTGACAGCTCAGCCGGCCACCGTCTCAGCCCCGAGGCAAGTTATTGTCTCAGCCAATTTAAAAAGAATGTTTTGTATGAAAACTTCTGAAGGAGCTCTTGGGTGCTCCTCGTCCAGGCATGGCCGGAGCTTGTTAACTCCTTCTGCTGGGAAATGCTTCCAAGCTGTGATGATTGGTTCTCGTGACTCCCATCTCCCCACATCCTTTTACTCTGACTTGGGGAATCGAGCTGGACTTTCAAGAAAGACTTCTCTGCCACTGGGTGCAACTCAGTGAGAGCCTCTGGAGATCCCATGGGGCTCTCTGAAGTCTTAGAGAAAAGAGGAAAATGAGGTTGCAAAGTTACTGAAGCTGTCTTAGTAGCTCTGAGAAAGAATCACAGAGTTGTCCTGATTTCATTCCTGTTTGAATTTGCTATTCTGGTTGTTTTTCCCTCTAGAAGTCAAATTCCCCACCCTCTGCCCTTCCCACCAGAGAGCTGTCACAGACAGGGACCCAGCTTATTCTCGCTGTGCTGTGTGCTTGAAAGGACATTTGTAGGTGATGATTATTGTTTTCATCAGCTTTCCCATCACTGGGACACAATACCTGACACCCACAACCTAAAGGAAGAAAGGTTTAAATTTTCTCAGAGTTTCAGGGGATTCAGTCCATGGTTTCTGGCTCTGAGCCAGAAACATCATGGTGGAAGCAGGTGGCAGAGTACAGCTGCTCAGTTCGTGGTAGCTGGAAGCAGAGCAGGGGAACAGTGCTAGAGAAGAACAGCAAGGAGCACATGGAGTTCCCATGTCACATCTCCATGACCCACCTCGACATACACCCAGGAGCTTCTGAATCTGCTAAGCATTTCTTAATCCAACAAAGTTGACATATCAAGACTAAGGGTCACAACTGGTCACCTGGGTGTATGGGTAGTTTTCAGAAAACAGGACGGAGCATGTGGAGGCATAAAGAACTGAGCAGTGTTGTTGTGATTTGAACTGTTTGCTTGCATACCTCTGAACTAGTGCAAAGGCTTCAAAGCAGCCTGCCTGCCACAGCTGAGGTGGCCCTGCATCTACACCGTTGCCTGCAGTTCTGGCTGGAACTGCATAGACTTGTTCTAAGGATGACTCCTCTGCTAAATTTGACCTCTTCCAAGGGGACAAAAACAGGCTTGTTTCAGAAAGAAGAAGGAGTTCAAAATATTTTATCAAGACACAAGTTCCAGCGGCAATGAACACAGATTATGACCCCTAGGTCTCTAGCTACACAGTTTCTGGTACAGCCAGTGCCCAGTACCATTGTGGAACCTTCTGGACCCTTGGAAATTAGGATGAATATATACATATATATATATACATATATAGATATGTGTTACAGCTAAGATATGAATGAGGAACATGTAATACCAGTTATGATGATCCAACTGTAGAAGTTTGAAGAGGTTTCTGTAAAAAAAAAATCAACTTTTAGAAATGTTTGGAATGGCCTACATGGAATTCCTCACAGGGTCAGGGATTGATTCACACCACTAAAAATCCTTTTTTGCCACAAGGCACAATTTCCCAAGAACATAAATAACACTATGGAAAAAAGGCTCTCAAGCTAGGACTGTCAGCTTCTTCACACTCGGTAGCAGTTTATGGAGACATTTCCCCTTTCGGATGAGATGAGATAGGTCGTTAGCCAGCATTCCGTCACTTTAACACATACTTGGGATAATCAACTTTGGAAGAGAAAGACTTGTTTTGGCTCTTGGTTCAGAGGATTTTTGTCTGCGATTGTGATTGATGGACCCCATTGCTTTTGAGCCTGGGACAAAGTGGCATGGCATGGTGGCGGTGGGTAAAGCTTTGCTCATCTTATGGCTAGAGAGCAAGAGGAGGGAAGAGGAAGGAAGGGGCAGGAGTGCCTCAGTTCCCTTCCAGGTCCACAAAGACCTGAAGACTTCCTGCTGGGCCCCATCTCCTGAAGGCTGTACTACCTCTCAGCCTTGCCATGGGGCCAGGACCCAGCATCCCATACCTGAGCCTTTGGGGGGGACATTTAATATTCAGACTCTAGCATCAGTGGTGACAGAAGTGTTGCCTGAGGATTTCTGTGGCCTGTGATATCCTAGGAAGATTTTGTGGACAAGATGGTCTTGATTTGGACTTTAAATGGTGAATAACACTTGAAAATAGAGATGAAGGAAGCCTTCCAGGAATGAAGAAGGGGCAGGTGAAAGCATTCAGGTGGGAAAACAAAGGACACATCTGTGTATATGCAGTGTCCAAAGAGGCAGAAAGAGGAAGGGAACTTTCAGGAGAAAGACTGAGAAAAGCGTGTGCTCTCCTTGGGTGACAAGGGGCGTAGAAAGTCTAGCTAAACACGTGGGCTTTATCAAGTAGGCTCCTGGGAGTTTTAGGGTGAGAAGCAATGTGGTGAAATAATACTTTGAGAAGTCAGCCTACTGTGGGACCTAGTGGAGGAAAGCTTAGAGAAACTAAAGGTGGACACAGGTGGGGCTGTTAGTGCAGAAACATTTACAGGAAAATGCTGCAACCCCAGGGTGCAATGTTTGATTGCTACTTGTTCCCAAATCACTGACATCAATCAGTTGGAATTCAAATGGCTCTCCCATTTCTTCTGGAAGAAGAAAATGGGAATTTCCAGGTGACTGAGGATTTCAATGGGATAGTTTCATGTAATACAAGTTGTACTTTACTTCTACTTCCCAGCCTACTTTGAGTTATAGATGGATTTGGGGTTCTACAGGAAATGCCGAGCGAGGCGGATAAAGCAATGCCTGCCATTGACACTGCAGAATGAAGATTCATCTTTGCCAGTTTTCATTAGTCTTTTCTATTGACATTCAGAAGGATATTCGATAGAATTACTAAAGCTTACTGGGCACTATCCTACCCTTTCGTGGCTGGGTATCAGACATTCCGGTAAGTCTTCACTCTCTCAATGAAGAGAAAAGTAAGTGTCATGTCCTATGGGATCCTCACTCAGTCAGTAATGGTTGACTGAGCTACTGGCGTAACCAGAATTCTAAGGCTCTCTCTGGGCTCACTGGGAGGAGCCCTGCTGCATAGGAACCCAGCTGTGCCCCAGTGAAGAGAGCGGATAAGCTAAGGACCAGGTAGCAAGGATAGACTCACACTGAGTAAGTCCTGGTTTCCTCATAGTGCGGACCATGAGTCTCAGGGACGTCCTGGTGTCAGTTCACATGTTCCTGGAAGAACTTAATGTTACACAAATGTGTCTAAAGTATGAAGAACGGACCCCCTTTTGTGCTATATGCACATGGTGAGAGGCAAGTCCTCGAGTCTGAGCAGGAAGAACAGTTTCCTATCCTGGAGACTAAAGCGGAATAGGAGTTCCAATGCAGACAAATTTCTAATATGCTGACAATGTTTTCTGGGCCAAAAATTGGAGATGTTATTTAATGAGGAATTTTTTAACCAAAATATTCATTTGCATTAATATTTTACAAAATTTTAAGTATTGTCTCATCTCTTTAGGAAAGTAAATGAGGCAAAATTGAGACTATCCCTGAAACTCAAAACATCTGTTTAACAAATTACAAAATAGTGGGCAAATGTAAGAGATCATTATTATTATTTGACTTGAATTACTAAGGCATAAAAATATTTTCCTGTCCATTTGTTGTTTTGATGAACACTCTGATTCTTACTTTAGAATTCTGAGTTCATCAAATAAAACCTATAATTTAAATAAAACTGCATTTGGCCAGAAATAAATGCTCAGTGAGAGAAATGCACAGTCAGGCCTCTGTATTGGCAGGTTCCGCATATGTGAAGTTAACCAGGCTTGGATTCAAAATGTTTGCAACAAGTTGCATCTCTCCTGAACATGTGCAGAACATTTCTCGGAGTCATCATTCCCTACAAAATGCAGTATAGCAGCTATTCACATAAAGTTTGCATTGTATTCATTGTTATAAGTAATCTAGAGATGGTAGAAAGTATACAGAAGGCTGTGCATAGGTTATATGCAAACACTGTGCCATTTATGCAAGAGCATGAACCATCTTTGTATTTCAGTACCCATAAGTCTGGGAGCCCATCCTCCATAGTTGCTGAGAAATAGTTTTTTTAACTTTATCCAAAGTCGGAGTAAATCTTTTTTTTTTTTTGGTACTGGGGATCGAACTCGGGTCCTTGAGCTTTCGAGGCAAGTGGTGGAACCACTGAGCTAAATCCCTGGCCATCAGAGTAAATCTTTCTAAGGTGGGCCAAGTAGAACTGGAGATTCACACTGTGAAAAATACAGATTGAGCTGGGGCTGGTAGGACATGCATATAATCCCAGCACTCTGGGAGGCTGAGGCAAGAGAATCATGAGTTCCAGCCCACCCTGGGCAATGTAGCATCCTAGTGAGATCCGTCTAAAAGTAAAAAGTAAAAACAAAAGGCGCTGGAGATGTAGAGTTCAATCTCCAGAACCATAAACATTAAAATAATAAATACAAATTGTTACAAAAATTTTTTTTCTGTGAAGATTAAGTAACATTTAAATGATGATTTCTTTGATTTGGGATTTGGGATGAGAAAGATACAACACACATTGAAGTCAATCGGAAATAAGGGGAAAAGATACTTGGGAAGATAAATAACCTTTGGTAACTGTTGATGTGTTAGAAATATTTGACTAATAAAGATGCATATCTATTCTAATAATTCCACCCCAAGTCTCTGGTCTTCATTGAAGTGAGACGATTCTTAGATGTCCGTGGCACAAGGCACCTTGAGAGACATTGGTGAACTTCATCACAGCCGCATGGAGTGAAGAGGTATTTCAGACAGGCTCTCACAGTCCTCATGATCAGCACCAGTTGAGTGGTGTCAGAGGAAGCACCACGTGGTCTTCCTGGTGCTGGGCTTCACCATCTGACCGCCGCTGGCCTGGATTCCACGCTGACCCTCTGCCCTCCTCCCCTGCCCACCTGCTGCCAGGGCCTGGGCCTGGGAGAGAAGGAAGGGACAGCCCTTGGCAGTCGGGCCCCAGAGAGAGCCCGTCCAGCTGCTTGGCAGGAGCCTCGTGGTCAACCAGACCCTGGCCTGGGCAAATCACCCCGGCCCTGGAGAACGTACCAGATCTGCTCACTAATGTGTCAGGAAGGTCCAGAGAGGGCAGCACAGCTGCAGCAGAGAGGAAACTGGGACCATGAAGACCAGCTCCACGATGCTGGCGAGGTTAGGAAACCTCTAATCCTAATTCCAAAACAGACCAAAAATAAAATAAAATAATAAAATAAGATAATCCACTCCCATTTCTAAAGGACGTTGGGAGAATGCACTAAGAGTACAAATGGGGTGGGAATGCATGCAATATTGCCCTTGTCATGAAGAAAAGGGGAAAAATAATGAGGGTTATGAATGTTTCATAGAAATGTATTTTAAATTCCAGGAAACTTTTAAGAGAAATTTTATAGGATGAATGTGGTATTAGAAATGTGACCATGTAAAACGAGAAACTCTGCTTCTTCTCACTGAGGCACCTGATTAAATAATCATTAAACCTGTGCATGCTTGGCAGATCTTCGATCACATCCCCACACAGGGCTTGAAGCCACATGGCATGCACCGGGGCGAGGCAGGACCACTGCCCTGGGAAGACAGGTGCCCATGACCAGGGAGGCCTGGGGTTCCAGCAGTGACCACTGGCACCAGATGCAGAAGGAGAGCATTCAGTGTGTGGATGGGAAAGTGTCATGAGGATAGACTTTTATCCTGAGGAATATCCTAGAAGCTTCTGCATGGCATTTCACACCACAGTGCAGACCACAAGGAAGCCAGGGCAGGGAGCCTCCTGTTAGGACTGGTCATTATTTCTTGTGATGCTTATTAGGAAGCCAGATGGAAAGATGTGTCTACTAAATGGACTTAATTAGAATATTGTCTTAGTTACTTTCTCTTCGCTGACCACCAATACTTCATACCCACAACTGTAAGGAGGAAAGGTTTATTTTGGCTCGGTTTATTGAGGTTTCAGTCCATAGTTCGCCGGCTCCAGGTCAGAGTGCCATGGCAGAAGGATATGGTGCAGGAGAAGCAGCTCACAGCATGGCAGTAGAAAGCAGAGAGATCAAGGGCAGAGGAGGGAGACAGACCTTCCAGGCCATGCCCCCAGTGACCACCCCTCCCACCAGGCTTTGCCTCCTAACATCAATTTAGCTATAAGCTCAGCAGTGGCCTAATCCACGATGATGACTATCACACCCCCACGATCCACTCACCTCTCCAAATCCCACCTGTGAGTGTGAGAGGCTTGAGGGGGGCAGCTAGCTGTAAACCCTTGCGGACACTTCCCCTCGGTAGAAATCACAGCGCCAAACGTGGGGTCTTATTTGAGCCATCGAGATAAGTGGCTGCACCAGGAAAGTTTAGGGGCAGGGAGGAAAGATGTGCCACACAGCAGGCTAGAGAGGAAGGTTCCTGAGACAGCCTCCTCTCTTCTTTTGCTTCTCCCCTCCCCTAACATTTTACTCTGAAATATTTTCCAGACATACCAAGGATTGGAAGACAGAATCCTGACAGCTGGGATCCCACTCCCCATTTTCTGAAAGATCTGTAAGCTTCTGGCAAAGATGACATTTTATTTCTAAACCTGCCCTCTGTGTATCCAAAAATGAAAATTAACTATATTTCTTAATATCACCACTATTCAAAACATATTAAAATTTGCAAATTGTCAACGAAGTACTGGTTAGAGCTTTTTTCTTCTGAAATAAAAACTGGTCAATGTTCAGATATTGGTTTTAGTGTTGCTCCATCAGCTCTTTCACGGGAGAACAATCTCCTCCCTTTTAATTCTTTTAACCTTGACCTTTTGTGGATGCTGTATCTGGCTTCTCATAGTTCCCCTGATTGGGTTATTTGTACCAGACTGGATGCTAGGTCCAAGGTTTATGAGGCTCTGGTTAAACATGGATGCCTCTGTGTACTTTCTACTGTGAGTGCTGCTAAAATTGGTCACAGCCAGGCTGTACACCTATAATCCCAGAATTCTGGAGGCTGAGGCAGCATCACCAGGGGTTGAAGGCCAATATTGACTACATAGTGAGTTCAAGACCAGCCTGAACTACATAGTGCGATGCCATCTCAAAAA